TCTGCCATTCGTTCCGTGGGTAATGCCTCACAGAGCAGCAACAACGGTGCACGTTCACCTGTTACACTGCCGGCAAAGCCAGGGACGTTGGTGACTCCTTCTGAAGAGAATGGGATCGACCAGAGTGATCTTACACGGCTGGAGGAAGATTGGCGAAATTGTCGAGCAGGCCGAGAGGTTAGTCAGGCTGATCACCTGCGGTATAACCTCTGGTCTCGCAAAAACATACGCCCCCCAGACCGTCAAGAAGAAACATAGCGCTCACATAGCGCCCATTTAGCGCTCAAATATATTATTTGCCTGCAGAAGACATGCTGCGTTACAATGAGGTTGACGAGGTCCCTCCCGCGCATGTAAATAGCCGACGTACGGCCAAAAATGGTGACAGAGATCCCATTTCACGTGATGCGAACGAAGGTTGATGATTACGTCCCTCGCGCACACCGCCAGCCAAAGGCTGAGCAAAAAGGTTTACTCAATGTAAACAGAAGAGAGCAATTGCAATTTCATTGAGCTCAATTCATTGTAAATAAAGCATCCACGATATAGATATATATGCTAGTATGATAGGTGAATGATTCTCATTTGTATGATTGCCAAAACCTATGTTGTCGCTTGCTGTTGCCATCTTTCATTTCTTTACATATGTTGCAATGTCAAAAATGTCTTGATACTGACACATTAGCCCTGTTTCTTTTTCAGGTTCGTGCTTCTTGTGGCGGAACGAGTGCAGCGTCAAATAATACCCAAAGGACATGCATGCTTCTCGATATTCCCAATTAATTAACAGTATACTTTATCGAACTAACTACTGATTAGCTTTAATTTTGGTCATCTGGTGAACAAAAAACGACTTCTATAACATTGACCAATAACGTTTGGCCATTCTGAACAATTTACACCAGCGAAAGTAATAAGTGGCAATAAAAAATTGTCCACAGAAAGTTTGCCAATTCAACAATTTACAGCGATATAACTACATTAGAAGTATTGCTGTTTGCATGCCTTCCCAAACGATTTCACGGGTATGACGTGATACACAGATGCACTCGTTCAGAAGACGCCACTCTTTAAAAGGACTTCATTTTTTTTTTCAACCGTATATTTTTTTTATTAAATAACAAGTAAGTTCTAACAATAGTTAGATATTCCAATAACACTTTAACCCACTAAAAACATTGGCCTCTTCAATTTATTCGTTAAAAATAAGTCACTTGGCAGTACTATTAAAACCGGTCTTTTGCTAGTCATTGGCTCATTAGCCCAATTTTTATTTCTCTTTGCTTCTCAATTTGCTCATATTTAACGATCTCTCGATCGACTGACCGGCGGTGCTGCCCGTTTTCAACAATCATTCAATGTTTTGCTATCCGCTGTGTCAAAAACATGTCTTCCGTGTCATTTATATAATGATGTCTTCCAATGAATGTTCAGCCTTCACAAAGTCCATACTGCCGTTTTATCACACAATTGTTATCACACACCAGGGAAAATGTATCACTGACCGGCACAGCGATAGCACAACATTATAATAAAAAGTGTATGTGGATGCATGTTTGAATACTTGGACACGGAAACAAATTCGAATGTCCTACGGACCCGAATGTTTTGGCCGTTGAAAGTCCATGGGTTCCGTGGCACGCCTGGGGAAGCATTACGACACTTGTGTCGCCCAGTGCTACTTGCCTTTTGTACAAATGTTGTACTGTACAGCTGTAAATATGAATGACTGTTTTGTATGATGTATATGTTGGGGCATTGTTTCGGCACATTTTAATTAGGTTCTTTTTCTATTACAGTCCTTGAGTTTCTGTTACCCATCTGGGAGTGGCCACTATCTGACTCCCCAAGCATCGACTACGGAGAAACGCCGATACGCATCACGGTCTGCAAAAGCTGGCTGATCATAGCTATGATGGGATTGGACGCTCATCGCCGACCCGTCTGGCTGTCTCAGTCGCTCTGCATCTGGTCCACGAATCACACACTGCAACTGCGGACGCCATCACCGACTGCAACGGCTGCAACTGCAACCAGCAGGTGGCCTAGGTCCAAAGCCAACGCCTGGCTGACCCACATGGCCGCCTGCCGTCGCTGCTACCTCATCTGCTCATCGTGCTTCGCTGTTCTCCGTCCGTTCGTCCGTCACTCTCGTCGCCCGTGCCAGCCGCCATCAACATGGCTGAGCGCACCATCGCCGCCATCAACGCGCTGTCGATCAAAGGGGTCACCAACACCGTCGCCAATTCCACCAGCTTCCGGTACGCTGACGTCTCCGGTATCGGTGCTGTGCGGCGGCAGCCAACGCTCCGTTGACAGGTGTGGCCACACTGTCACGGCGCACCCTGGCCGCTGCCCCTCTCGATCAACTCGGACATCATCTACCCGCAGAGGTGCCTGGCGCATAGCATCGACAACGACAAAACATGGCGACAACGATAACGACGACGACTAGCGATGACGACAAAACCGAATCGGAGAGCAGCGACAACAGCAGCAGCAGTAGTAGCAACAACAGGCGTACCAGTACCAGTAGCAGCAGCAGCCGTACCTGCAGCAGCAGTCGTACCTGGCGTTCCATGCGCGGTGTCATACGTGTATCTATGCAGTTAGGATCGTGATTGCTTATTGGTCGCCTCCTCTTGTCGGCTTGTTGGGGGAGGAAAGATATGTGGAGAAGGAAATCATGGCCTCCCACTCCCGATGGAGGCCCCAAATATCTGTCCCTATTTTTTGTATCTGTCTGGGTGTCTGGGGCGCATAGCGACACGGGACCGCCGGCTCGCTGGCCGGCTGCCCGTCCGGTCACGTGCTTGCGTCCCGACACCCACCATAAAACCATGTTCTTCGGAAATACACGCTCTCACTTCTCCGCTACCGACTGTGACGCCAACACCATCCGCGGACCCCGGCTCCGACGAGGGCGGCCGAAATGGCCGGCCCACACAAGCAACCAACGAAGCACGAATAAGTTATCCTTATTTGACGCGTCTTCACTTGGTTTCTCCCGTCTCAGCTCTCAAGTGAGGCAGTTAGCGAAATACCCAGTGGCTTCCGCGTCGATTAACACCCGGCCTGGCCGCCTGTTTGCGAATTGCGACGCCCGACGGATCGGAGGCGAATCCAGCTCAGAGTTTGGGGGGGGGGGGGCAAACCATAAAATTTGTCGATTCTTTCCATGCATCGTCCATAGGCGTAATGTTAAAATTATGCCGTTTGGGGGGGGGGCAAATGCCCATTTTGCCCCCCCCCCTGGATCCGCCACTGCGACGGATCATGCTTCAACTCGTATCGTATTGCGGCCGGCGGGCGGCGGCGACGACCTCGACCCGTCTCCAGTTCGGCTCGTCTTTCTGGAGAGTGGAGGGTGCAGGCTCAGAAAGTCAGAAGTCAGAACTCAGTGTCGTCTGTGAGGGAACGTGCAAGGGAGCGACTGCGGCTGTGTCTCTGTACCTATGCCTGCGTGTGTAACTGTGCCGAATGCAAGATATGTTAACGATATTGATTTATTTAGTCAACCAAAGATTTGAAAATACGTCAAATACACTTTGTTTGCTCTATATTTGGTTTCTATAGACCTTGGGATGCACATTGGGCTTTGATCCTGTCGACCTTGGGATATGGAGCTCGATTTTGGGAAATTCGCGCGGCGATCTTGGGATTTAGAAAAATTCCCGTTGGTAACCCTGCATGCAACGCCCATAGGGCCAATGTCAAAATTAAGGGGGGGGCACGGTGCCCCTGTGCCCTCCCCGTTCCACCGCCTATGCCCTTACTCACTCGGGGGAAGGGGGGGGGGGCAGTGGACACCCATATTTTTTTCGGTACAGGTATACGGTGCGCAAAGCCTGCCTCGGCCTGCCTGTGAGGAACGATGATATTTAGTTATTGCTACCCAGTCTTGATTGTTTCACGCGTGCTTAGGGTTAGTTTGCTTTTGTCTGCTGTTTCCACGGACGAAATTATACGAACTAGATCCGCCATATACTGTGATCTTTGTTTGTTTGTTTGTTTGTTTGTTTGTTTGTTTGTTTGTTTGTTTGTTTGTCTGTTTGTCTGTTTTTTTTGCTTGTTTATTTGTTTGTTTGTGTTGTTTTGTTGGGGACAAGTTCTTCCGGCCCAATAAGACAAATGCAGCGCTATGGGATGCTATCATGCTAGGATAGGGCGGTGACATTGGGGGCTGTGCGGGACACTGACAGTGATCCGCGGAGGCGAGACCGTCCCGGTGGGACCGGGCTGTCCCGCTGGAACAGTCCGGCCGGCCGCCCCAAACGGTCACCCCGGGGAGGAGTTACGGGTCTCAGTGGGGACCCGGTGAGGGTCTCAGTGGGGACCCGGGGAGGGTCTCAGTGGGGACCCGGTGAGGGTCTCACTTCTCAGTGGGGACCCGGTCAGAGACCCCGGGGTGAGTTACGGGTCTCAGTGGGGACCCGGAGAGGAGTTACGGGTCTCAGTGGGGACACTGTGAGGGTCTCAGTGGGGACCCGGTGAGGGTCTCAGTGGGGACCCGGGGAGGAGTAACGGGTCTCAGTGGGGACCCGGGGAGGGTCTCAGTGGGGACCCGGCCTCACCCGCCGGCGGTCGGCTGGGGTGACCGCCGGCCCGCAGGGGGAGCATTAGGGGGACGCTGTTCACACAGTCCTGAGGATGGCGAGGGCGGAATATGGTGTATACCGTGTTGTATTCATTATTCAGATTTATAATTGTGCTCGACGCTATGCTGGTTTAGTGATAAATGTCTGTCCGCTCCCCGTGTGCCGCCCCCCCCCCCGCTGACCTGTGCCGCTCTGTGTATGCCGCTCCCCCGCTGACCTGTGCCGCTCTGTGTGTGCCGCTCCTCCGCTGACCTGTGCCGCTCCCCCTCCGCTGACTTGTGCCGCTCTGTGTGTGCCGCTCCCCCGCTGACCTGTGCCGCCGCTCTGTGTGTGTGCCGCTCCCCCGCTGACCTGTGCCGCTCCCCCGCTGACCTGTGCCGCCGCTCTGTGTGTGTCCGCCAGGCGGCGCGGCCGGCTCTCCCTGGGAGCTGGGCGAGCTGTCGGCCGCGCTGACGCCGTCGCCGGTGGCGGGCGCACCCGCCGGCCGGCCGCCGCCCGCCTCCAAGTCGCCGCACTCGTTCCTGGGCGAGAACTCCGGCCTGGTGAACCTGGACAACCTGATCGGCGCTCCGGCCGGCGCCGCGCCGCCGCCCGCCGCCCAGGGTCAGTCAGAGGGGTCAGTGGCGCCGCCCCCGCCGCCGCCCAGGGTCAGTCAGAGGGGTCACAGGGGTCAGAGGCGCCGCCCAGGGTCAGTCAGAGGGGTCAGTGGCGCCGCCCCCGCCCCCCGCCGCCGCCCAGGGTCAGTCAGGGGGAGGAGGAGGCGCTCCGAGGGAACAGTGGGGTCGCATTCCCATTTTCTTCCAAGCTGTGCCCTTTCCGGAGTCCGAACTATTCTCGGTAAGCATAAGTCAACCCAGCAATGTCCGAATGGGTAAGTGCCACGACTCAATATGTAATTTTCCCGTTTTCTGATGCATTATTCATTTGAATTGTAAGATAAAGCAGGATAATTTAGGTGCACTGCAGTAATTCAGGCTTACAAACATGAAACAACGCTGAAAAAATTAAAGTTGCTGGTTGAAATTTTGATTCAGTGCACGAACTAACTGAGATGAATTAGTCAGAATTGCCTGACCAGCCGCAGTCTGAGTCGGTGTCGGACTGTTCTCGAAGTCGGCCGGGACTGTACTGGGGCGGACCTCACCGCGCGCTGAGGGCCCGCCGAGAGGCGGTCCCGGCCCGGCTCGGTCGGTGGACGGGGGCTCCCCTGCGTTACCGGGGCCGGGGCCGCGGACCGGGTGCCCGGGCTGCGCGGCCGCCGGTCCGTCTGTGATCGGACTCGGCACTGACCTGACCGCCCTCTGCCGGCAGCCAACCCGTTCGGGTGGACGCCGGCCGCCGCGGCGGCCAACCCGTTCCAGGCAGCCGCGCCGCCAGCGCCATCTATCAACCAGATCCGGCACCGCCGGTTCGGTGAGTGGCCGCCGGGCGGCGCGGGCCGGGTTGATGGGTGGTCGCCGGTGTCAGCTGCCGGTGACGTGGGCCTGTTATGGGGGGATACTTTATCGGCTGGATCAGCGGATACACCATGTGTCAGTGAGATCGGCGGCGGCGTGCCGTGTGAGGGCCGCCCACCCTTCGTGTAAAGGGGAGTTACCCAGTATCCATGAGGGAGACAGTCTGTACAATGACGTCTTTTTAGTGTGATTTTTATGAAACTGCTGTAACTACACTAATCTCTCGTTTGCTTCTCCCGCAAACCAGAACAGTGAGAGTGAACCAGGTAACCGTGCGCTCTCTCTCTCTCTCTCTCTCTCTCTCTCTCTCTCTCTCTCTCTCTCGTGTTGCTGAACCCGCGCCGTGGTCGGTACACTGGCCGCGCGGTGTCAGCAGCGACGCCGGGCACATTGCACGTAATCCGTGGATGCAGTGTAGTTGCATGCCCACACGCAGACGTTCGGGACTATATGTAGTTAGTTTTGAATGTGGTTGGACTTCAAGTTCTTTAGCGAAGCTGCCAAGCGAGATATAATTCTTGTAGCCGATCAGAGAGATTTTAGCTATCCCAATCCTCAGCTAGCTGGTTGGGGAGTTGTGTTTGATGAATGCTGAAAGTGGTCGCTGACAACATGCCCACACTACGCCGGCGTGTCTGCGCGGCAGCCCGCGGTGTCTGTGACCTGTCCGGACAACCGGCCAGAGCCGGCGAGGAGCCCGCTCCGTCCGGGCTGGTAATAGCGCACTGCACTGCATGGCCGCACAGAGTCCTCGCCAGACCGGCTCGGACCAGCTCTGACTGCAACCAGCTCACATTGAACATATATTACTCATAAACGAGCCGTATGTGCAATTTAGGCGGCGTTATTGCACTTGCACTCGTGCAATAAACAAAGCACGTGCCAAGTCGTAATGAGACCCTGAAGACAAACTATGTTTGCTGCTTCGATGCAAGTCCCCCTCCCTGGCACCTTTCACAATTGCATTACATAGAGCCACTGCCCCTAGCGATGTTGTTCGGGGCTGTTTTTTTTTTCGAGCCTACATACGAGGATAAAAACTCGTCCGGTTCGGACCGGGACCGCCGAGACTGAATCATATCGTGCCAGTCGACACATCCCGGGCATTCAGCTGTCTCAGGGTCCACGTTACGGGCAGTTTTCCCGAGTCAGAAGAAGATACTTTTAATAGGGTGCCAATGTCGATGAATCTTGCTAAATTTACGTCACTTAGCACTTCCTGCGACAACGCTGACAAAGTCGTTAATTTGGTAGTTGTTTGCCTGCTGCGTGTACAAACAGTTGTGACGTCACTGATTAATGGCTTCGTTCGTCTCCCGCAGAGGACACTACAAAGCAGCCGCCGGCGCAGCCGCAGCCGCCGACAGACCCGTGGGCCGCGCCCGCCAGCGCCGCCAACCCCTTCCTCTCCTAAGTGCAAGTTCCGCCAGCGGCCGCTAGGTGGTGACACGGTCGGCGGCCGGAGCGGCGGGTGCTGCCGGCCTGTGACGGCCGCGGACGGCGGTGTGCTGAGGTGGACGCGACGGCCCACCGTCCGATGTGTGTACTCGATGTGCGCCGCGCCGGGCCGACTGTGGATCCGCGGCAGTCCAGCGGCCGCCGACTGCGGCTGTACCGGCAGTCCAGCGGCGGCTGACGGCGGCTGTACCGGCAGTCCAGTGGCCGCTGACTGCTGGGGGCCGGGCCGACTGTGGATACCGCGGCAGTCCAGCGGCTGACGGCGGCTGTACCGCCAGTCCAGCGGCGGCTGACGGCGGCTGTACCGGCAGTCCAGCGGCTGACGGCGGCTGTACCGGCAGTCCAGCGGCTGACGGCGGCTGTACCGGCAGTCCAGTGGCCGCCCAGTGGCCGCGGGGGGGCCGGCGGGGACGGGGGAGGGCGCGCAGATGGACAGCGCTGCCAGTGCTGAGAGAATGGACGAGCGATAACGTATAGCTAAATGATAATCACATATACCTACTGGGCAGGCCGACGGGGAAGATGAGCGCGCTAGATGGCCGGCGGGGATAGCGGAACAAACGTACTGTAGCTCACATGCCTCTATATTTTGTGTTGCGGCGCGGTGATTTTCGGTCGGTTACATTGCTATGGATCCGTGGGCGCGGCGCCGGCCGAAACTGAGCGGTCTAGGCAGCCGGCGGGCGTGATGTCTGCGCGCGGCCACCGCTTGTATGGCGACATTTACCAGGCACCGACGGTGTCGACGGCCGGCCTGTCCGGGAGCGTCGCCGGCCGGCGCAGTATTTATTGAGATCGTCCGGCCCGCCGCGCCCTGTCCGCACTCTGCTAATACCAGCTATTTTTATGCCGAGCGGGTGTCTGTCTGTCTGTCTGTGTGCGCGCCGGAGTGGTCTGGGTCCCGTCCCGCGGGCGGTCAGGGGCCGGAGCCGAGCTCAGAGAACGGCCGCCGCCGGCTGAGCGGAGGCGCAGGATTCAAAACGCGGCGACTTCAACAGAACACCTGTATAGAGCCTGAACGCCGCCGGCAGCGGGCCGTAACATCAACATGGTCCAGCACACGTCATATACACAAATACATATAAATATGTTACAAAAAAAAACACCCGTAAGGCACGGTCTGTTTCAGCTCGCACAGCAGTTCATCACATTGGTTACTTTGGCATCGCGGGGAAGACTCGATACCATTCCGCTGAGCTATCGCGGGGAAGACCCGGCACCATTCCGCTGAGCTATCGCGTGGGAGACTCGATACCATTCCGCTGAGCTATCGCGGGGAAGACTCTACAATGTACCACTCCGCTGAGCTATCGCAAGGGAGATTCGGGTACCGCTCCACCGAGCTATCCTACGTCACGGGCGCTGAGCATTGATACAATGGAATGTCCCCACCGAGCGGATCCCACTCCGGCGGCTCCGGTCACGACTGGTGTCCAGTGTCCCCCCCCCCCTCCCCCTGGCGGCTTCGGCGGCTCCGGTCACGGCTGGGTGTCCACCACGAGGCGTCCGTGGCGGTCGCGGATGCGGATCCGGCCGTTGGGATACCGGGTCTCCTGGCGGCCGTCCGGATACACAAACTTGATGGTGCCGTCCGGACAGACGAGCTTCTTATAGCGGTCCGTGTGCACCTCCAGCTTACCTGGGCAGGGGGCAGGGGGCGGGGTCACCTCTTATAGCGGTCCGTGTGTACCTCCAGCTTACCTGGGCAGGGGAAAGGAGGGGGCGGGGTCACCTCTTATAGCGGTCCGTGTGTACCTCCAGCTTACCTGGGCAGGGGGGGCGGGGTCAGCTCTTATAGCGGTCCGTGTGCACCTCCAGCTTACCTGGGCAGGGGGGAGGGGAGGGGGCGGGGGTCACTTCTTATAGCGGTCCGTGTGCACCTCCAGCTTACCTGGGCAGGGGGGGGGGGGACTTTATCGTACGAGCATGTAAGTTACAGTCAGAGACGATAGAGTATACATATAAACGTGGACACACGCCACACGGTATAGCCGGCAAGAGGGTTACAAGAGAACAGTGACTCACCGCTGGCCAGCAGTGACTCACTGACTCACCACTGGGGAGCAGTGACTCTGACTCACTGGAGAGCAGTGACTCTGACTCACCGCAGTGGCCAGCAGTGACTCTGACTCACCGCTGGGGAGCAGGGACTCTCACTGACTCACCGCTAGGAGCAGTGGCTCTGACTCACCGCAGTGGCCGGGAGCAGTGACTCTGACTCACTGCTGGCCGGAAGCAGTGACTCTGACACACCGCTTTACAGCTGCAGTGACTGACTGACTCACCGCTGGGGAGCAGTGACTCTGACTCACCGCTGAACAGCTGCAGTGACTGACTGACTCACCGCTGGGCAAGAGCACCTCCTCGCTGCCGTCAGTGAGCAGTCGGCGCCGCGTGCCGTCCCGGTAGACGGTCTGCTGCTCACCGTTGGACAGCAGAACCGTCACAGAGCCGCACGGGTACCTGCCGCCGGCCGATCACAGCCGTCAGACCGGTCAGAACAGCGGTCAGGACCACTGCGGTCTACATTCGTCAGGAAAGCGGTCGAGGGGTCAGAACGGTCAGAGGGGTCGGACGGGCCACAGCAGCGACCTCTGACCCAGCGTGATGACCTCTGACCTAGCGTAATGACCTCTGAGTTCTGACCCAGCGTAATGATCTCTGACCTGAGCTAATCGTTTTTGCTTTTGCACGGCAGCACAGCACACAATACACTGGGCCTGATAACTGTGTCCCACCTGGTCTTGGCGTCTCGCCCCGTCCCCCTGTCCCGTTCTGCCCCACCTGATCACGCTGTCCTGTTCCGTACCCCCGTCCTGTCCCACCCCGTCCCACCTGATCTCCGTGGTCCCCCCCCGGTCCCACCTGATCTCCGTGGTCCCCCCCGGTCCCACCTGATCTCCGTGGTGCCGCCCTGTCCCACCTGATCTCCGTGCTGCCGTCCGGTCCCACCTGATCTCGCTGTCCCGCCCGGTCCCACCTGATCTCCGTGGTGCCGCCCGGTCCCACCTGATCTCCGTGGTGCCGTCCCGTCCCACCTGATCTCCGTGGTGCCGTCCCACCTGATCTCCGTGGTCCCGTACCGTCCCACCTGATCTCGCTGTCCGGTCCCACCTGATCTCCGTGGTGCCGTCCCGTACCCCCGCCCGGTCCCACCTGATCTCCGTGGTGCCGCCCGGTCCCACCTGATCTCCGTGGTGCCGTCCCACCTGATCTCCGTGGTGCCGCCGCGTCCCACCTGATCTCCGTGGTGCCGTCCCGTCCCACCTGATCTCCGTGGTGCCGCCCGGTCCCACCTGATCTCCGTGCTGCCGTCCGGGTCGCGCCGCTCCAGCTGGCCACTGCTGAACTCCGTCAGCTCCGAGCCGTTCCGGTACGTGGTCTGGCGCGTGCCGCTCGCCGCGTAAAAGTACACCGTGTCCCCCTGCCGCCGGGTCAGATACACCGGGTCACACTGTGACAGTGGGTCAGATACACCGTGTCCCCCTGCCGCCGGGTCAGATACATACCCCGGGTCAGATACACCGGGTCACACTGTGACAGTGGGTCAGATACACCGTGTCCCCCTGCCGCCGGGTCAGATACACCGGGTCACACTGTGACAGTGGGTCAGATACACCGTGTCCCCCTGCCGCCGGGTCAGATACACCGGGTCACATACACCGGTTCAGATACACCGGGTCACACTGTGACAGTGGGTCAGATACACTGTATCCCCGTGCCGCCGGGTCAGATACACCGGGTCAGACTGTGAGTCACCGCCCACCGGTCAGATACACCGTGTCAGAATATACACCGGGTCAGATACACCGGATACATACACCGGGTCACATACACCGAGTCACATACACCCGGGGTCAGATACACCGGGTCAGATACACCGACCGGGTCCAACTGTGGGCCAGACACGCCACCGATCACCACTCACCCACTGGCCAGTGGCCATGCACCCTCTGAGGGGAACGCGGGGCGGCTGGACGGAACGACGGGGGGAGAGCTGCGGACGGGTACCAGATGAGGACATGACGGGGACGGCCGGGTAAGGGACGGGGGACGCTGGGGTAACAGAAGGGGAACGGTGGGGTAACAGAAGGGGAACGCCAGGGTAACAGAAGGGGAACGGTGGGGTAACAGAACGGGAACGGTGGGGTAACAGAAGGGGAACGGTGGGGTAACAGAAGGGGGACGGTGGGGTAACAGAAGGGGAACGGTGGGGTAACAGGAGGGGAACGGTGGGGTAACATTAGGGGAACGCTAGGGTAACAGAAGGGGAACGGTGGGGTAACAGGAGGGGAACGGTGGGGTAACAGAAGGGGAACGGTGGGGTAACAGAAGGGGAACGGTGGGGTAACAGAAGGGGAACGGTGGGGTAACAGAAGGGGAACGGTGGGACGTCCGGAGGAGGGTGAGTGACCAGAGGACGGGCGAACACCAGGGGACTGACTACGGCGACTGACTACAGACAAGTGACGGAGGGGACTGACTACAGACAAGTGACGGCATATTGGTTATAGCCACTGGTGACATAATATAGGTGCAGCAGCTGACACCACCCGCTGTTAGACACATCCGACGAACCCCACCAGCGACCAGCGCCGACAGGCAGGGCGCACTGGCAGCCCTGTGATCGAGCGGCCCCTCAATGGCGGCACATCCGCCGCCGCACTGCCCACCCGCCGTGCGCGCATTACCGACCTCAGCCGCCAACGGCCGGCCGGCGTAACCAATCCAGCGGCTGTGGACTCCTGAGGGATAACCAATCCAGCGGCGGTGGACTTGAGGGATAATCAATAAGGCGGATGTGGACTCCTGAGGGATAACCAATCCAGCGGCTGTGGACTTGGGGGATAACCAATCCAGCGGCTGTGGACTTCTGAGGGATAACCAATCCAGCAGCTGTGGACTTGAGGGATAACCAATCCAGGGATAACCCTGAGAGAGGGACTCCTGAGGGATAACCATATTGACCAATCCAGCGGCTGTGGACTTCTGAGAACTGGACTCTGTCTCACTTGAGAACTGGTATGCCTCACCTGAGAACCGATCTGTCTCACCTGAGGACTGGTCTGCTCACCTGCGGACTGGTCTCCTTCCAGTCTCCGTTCTGGTAGCAGACGCGCACGGTGCCGTCCGACAGCTTATCCCGCCGGCTGCCGGCGGACTCCGCCGCTCCGCCGGGGGAGTCCGCCGCTCCGCCGGCCGGCACGGACAGAGCAGAGGAGGACAGGGTGGATACCGATAGAGCGAGCGCCGGGTCCCGGCCGGGCGGCGCCGGCGCCGGCGCCGGCCACGGGAACGGCGAGGCTGAGACGGCGGCCGCGGCGGGACGGCCGTCCGCGGGACGCTGGGTCTGGCCGCCGCGGCCGGTCGGCGTCCCGGCCGGCCCCCGGCTCTCCGCCGGCAGGTCTCGGTCCTGGGCCGGCCCCCGGCTGTCCGCCGGCGCCGCCCCGTCCCCGGGCCGGTCGCGGCCCGCCGGCGGGGACGGCAGAGGCGACTGGCGGCCCGCCGGCGGAGTCGGCAGGGACGGCGCGGCGGCCACCTGCACGGCGCTGTCGCGGACGACGCGGACCGGCGGCGGCGGCCGGCGCGGCACGGCCACCGACTCGGCGCGGCCGCCCGAGCCGGACCGGCCCCGGCCCCGGCCGCTGCCGCTGCCGGCGCCGCCCTCCAGCAGCCTGCCGACGTCCTCCACAGAGGGGGAGACGGCCGAACAGTGGCTCTCCAGGGACCTGGGGACGGGAGCACAGGTCAGGGCAGGAGCAGAGGCACAGGGCAGGGGCAGAGGTCAGGACAGGAGTACAGTAGCCTCCAGTACAGTCGAAGCGAACCTACTGGAGGTTGTTGTACCCCTGCCCTGACCTGACCTGTGCCTTGCTAACATGCCGGGTCGCAGTAATTAAAGCGCTATCTGTCAATGCCGGACTCCGATACCACGGAAGGACCATCAGCGGTGGGCGGGACCTCCGTACAGCGGCACCGCAGCAGCTGTCCCGAGCTCTGAGTTCTCACTACCGCCCCTGTCGGCGCCACACCCACCTCCTGCCGCCCCTGCCGGCGCCACACCCACCTCCTGCCGCCCGCCCCTGTCGGCGCCACACCCACCTCCTGCCGCCCCTGTCGGCGCCACACCCACCTCCTGCCGCCCGCCCCTGTCGGCGCCACACCCACCTCCTGCTGCCCCTGTCGGCGCCATACTCACCTCCTGCCGCCCCTGTCGGCGCCACACCCACCTCCTGCCGCCCGCCCCTGTCGGCGCCACACCCACCTCCTGCCGCCCCTGTCGGCGCCACACCCACCTCCTGCCGCCCGCCCCTGTCGGCGCCACACCCACCTCCTGCCGCCCCTGTCGGCGCCACACCCACCTCCTGCCGCCCCTGTCGGCGCCACACCCACCTCCTGCCGCCCCTGTCGGCGCCACACCCACCTCCTGCCGCACGCCCCTGTCGGCGCCACACCCACCTCCTGCCGCCCCTGTCGGCGCCACACCCACCTCCTGTCGCCCCGGTCGGCGCCACACCCACCTCCTGCCGCCCGCCCCTGTCGGCGCCACACCCACCTCCTGCCGCCCGCCCCGGTCAGCGCCACACCCACCTCCTGCCGCCCCTGTCGGCGCCACACCCACCTCCTGCCGCCCGCCCCTGTCGGCGCCACACCCACCTCCTGCCGCCCCTGTCGGCGCCACACCCACCTCCTGCCGCCCCTGTCGGCGCCACACCCACCTCCTGCCGCCCCGGTCGGCGCCACACCCACCTCCTGCCGCCCCTGTCGGCGCCACACCCACCTCCTGCCGCCCACCTCCTGTCGGCGCCACACCCACCTCCTGCCACCCCTGTCGGCGCCACACCCACCTCCTGCCGCCCCTGTCGGCGCCACATCCACCTCCTGCCGCCCGCCCCTGTCGGCGCCACACCCACCTCCTGCCGCCCCTGTCGGCGCCACACCCACCTCCTGCCGCCCGCCCCTGCCGGCGCCACACGCACCTCCTGCCGCCCCTGTCGGCGCCACACCCACCTCCTGCCGCCCCTGTCGGCGCTACACCCACCTCCTGCCGCCCCTGTCGGCGCTACACCCACCTCCTGCCGCCCTTGTCGGCGCCACACCCACCTCCTGTCGCCCCTGTCGGCGCCACACCCACCTCCTGCCGCCCCGGTCGGCGCCACACCCACCTCCTGCCGCCCGCCCCTGTCGGCGCCACACCCACCTCCTGCCGCCCGCTCCTGTCGGCGCCACACCCACCTCCTGCCGCCCGCCCCTGTCGGCGCCACACCCACCTCCTGCCGCCCGCCCCTGTCGCCTTCCTGCCGCCCCGGTCCGGCCCGCTGCCGCGACTGCTGCGCCCTCCGGCGGTGGACACGGAACTGGTACTTCCCCCGCCGTCCGCCAGGTCCGGAGCTGACCGGTGTCGAGAGAGGGTCGTGCGGCGCCGGCCGGCCGCCGGCTCGTCCCCCTCCACAGAGCCCGACCTGGGGACGGGGCACGGGGAGGGGGGGTCAGCGGCTGGGCAGGCACGGCGCGAAACCACCGCCATCGTCCCACCGACATATACGACGCACACAAACAGCTCAACCTCCATAGGAAAATGGGAGCTCAGTTTATCAGAAAACGTCTGACAGGCCGGTCAAACCGGGAAATCTCCGCAGCGGAGCAGTCCTCCAAAATCCCATTCATCATTAATTAAATTTACGGTAAGCCAAACAAGTGCAAACAACACTACACCCAACAGTAGAAAGAAACAAGTGTCTGTCTAGTGATTAATTCATGCAAATGCATAGTGGCCGACACAAAGTAAGGTATGGTCGAATACGCTTCAACCAACTAAAGGCAAATACAATGGATATCGGATAACAGACACGGGCGCTGTTCTGTCGCCTTTCTATCGGTATGCTGCCGGCTTTGTCATAAATATTTTCTGCCGTTTCTCGGTCATGAATATAAATGCCACACCCTACATAAATTTCACCCACAATAGGCCGAAAAGACGCCAGCAAGCTGCCAACTTCCTGACAAAAAAGCGGCGCCCGATTACCGCACTGCTGTGGACACTCCCGGCTGCCCGCTCCCCCGCCCGCTCCCCCCGCCCAGCGCCCACCGGTGCGGTCCGGCGCCGGCGCTGAACTGGCGCGCGTTGCGCCTGGCCAGCTGCTGGTGGGCGCTCTGCAGCAGCCGCTCCAGACGGTCGCGGTCGGCCGTCAGGTGAGCCAGGCGGGCGCGCAGTCGCGCCGCGTCCTGTGACCACGAGCTGCCGCGGCGGCCCAGCTCAGCCTCCAGTGCCGTCACCTGACACACAGGTCACAGAGTGGTCACACGGGTCACAGAGGGACAGAGGGGTCACAGAGGGACAGAGGGGTCACAGAGGGGTCACACAGGTCACAGAGGGGTCACACAGGTCACAGAGGGGTCACACAGGCAACAAAGGGGTCACACAGGTCACAGAGGGGTCACACAGGTCACAGAGGGGTCACACAGGTCACAGAGGGGTCACACAGGTCACAGAGGGGTCACACAGGTCACAGAGGGGTCACACAGGTCACAGAGGGGTCACACAGGTCACAGAGGGGTCACACAGGTCACAGAGGGGTCACACAGGTTACAGAGGGGTCACACAGGTCACAGAGGGGTCACACAGGTCACAGAGGGGTCACAAGTTAACAAAGGGGTCACACAGGTCACAGAGGGGTCACACAGGTCACAGAGGGACAGAGGGGTCACAGAGGGACAGAGGGGTCACAGAGGGGCCACACAGGTCACAGAGGGGTCACACAGGTCACAGAGGGGTCACACAGGTCACAGAGGGGTCACACAGGTCACAAAGGGGTCACACAGGTCACAGAGGGGTCACACAGGTCACAGAGGGGTCACACAGGTCACAGAGGGGTCACACAGGTCACAGAGGGGCCACACAGGTCACAGAGAGGTCACACAGGTCACAGAGGGGTCACACAGGTCACAGAGGGGTCACACAGGTTACAGATGGGTCACACAGGTCACAGAGGGGTCACACAGGTCACAGAGGGGTCACACAGGTAACAAAGGGGTCACACAGGTCACAGAGGGGTCACACAGGTCACAGAGGGACAGAGGGGTCACAGAGGGGTCACACAGGTCACAGAGGGGTCACACAGGTCACAGAGGGGTCACACAGGTCACAGAGGGGTCACACAGGTCACAGAGGGGTCACACAGGTCACAGAGGGGTCACACAGGTAACAAAGGGGTCACACAGGTCACAGAGGGGTCACACAGGTCACACAGGTCATAGTGGGGGTCACACAGGTCACAGAGGGGTCACACAGGTCATAGTGGGGGTCACACAGGTCACAGAGGGGTCACACAGGTCACAGTGGGGTCACACAGGTCACAGAGGGGTCACATAGGTCACAGAGGGGACACACAGGTCACAGAGGGGTCACACAGGTCACAGAGGTCGCAGAGGGGTCACACAGGTTACAGAGGTCGCAGAGGGGTCCGATGAGCACAGAGGGTTACCCATACCACAAATGGGTATTACACAGGGGCGGACATCGACTGCAGCAGCCGTACTCGACTCTCGGACCGTCACCCATGGGGTGTTCAGGTGATTCATCGAGTACAAATGTACAATTTATGGATGGGTAGCTGAATCCCATTCAAAATGAAAATTTCTGTCATTATATAAAACCACAGCTACCTTAGCATGAAGCGCCTTCAGTTCGGGCGTTTCTCTTTTCCTCCACTCCTCGGTGTGCCTTTTCTTCTCGGCCTCGAACTGTTTCCTTTCGTCGGCCAGTTTCTTTCTCTCCTGCTCTGTCCTCCTGGCCATGCGCTCCGCGTCCTCTGCCTTCTGGCGCTCCCAGCGCTCTTTCTCGGAGTCCAGGTCGAGCCGCTGCCGCTGCAGGTCGGCCCGCAGTCGCGACAGCAGCGCGTTCTCCTCGCGGAAGGTGGCCGCCTCACGGTCCAGCGCGGCGCGCTGCCGCTCCAGGCCGGCGCGGTCAAAGAGGAAGGGCTCGGCGCCGGCCGGCCGACGGGTCGACTCCGTCCGTCCGGCCGGCCGCGCGGGGCCCGAATCCTGCAGAGCGGCCGGCCGCGCGGGGCCCGAGTCCTGCAGAGCGGCCGGCGCCGACGCGGCGCCCGCCCCCGACCGACTCCGACTCTGTGCCCGGTCCTCCGGCGGCCCGCAGCCCCCGGCCGGCCGCTCGGGGCTGACACCGCGCTCCAGCTGCTCGCCGCCGGCCGTCCGGTCCGGGGCCGGCCGGCGCTCCGGACCGGCCGCGCCGTCCCCGGCCTCTGACGTCAACGTGACGTCACACGAGCCGTCGGCGGTGATCTCGAATACGTCCGGCTGGTCGTCGAAGCGCACCGACCTGCGCAGCGGATCCGCCCAGCCGGCCGGGCCGGCGGCGCGCTCACACCGGCCGTCCAGCTCGCGGCGCAGCTGGTCGCGCAGCCGGCGGTACCGCTCCAGCCGGTCACCCTGCTCCTCCTCCGGCTCCTCCTCCGGCTCCGGGTCGGCCGGGGCGGCGGCGCGCGCCGGCGAGACCGCCAGCGACGCGTCCAGAGAGGCCTCCGAGTCGGGCGGCCGACCGCACGGCGCCGCCGACCAGTCGGGCCGGCCCGGCGGGGGCGTTACACCGGCCGCGGCCACGTTCGGCCGGACCACGGTGCCGGCCCGCGGCTGGCCGCCGCAGCCGCGGCTCTGGCCCGCCGGCCCGGCAGCCGGTGCTCCGCCGCCGCGGGCCGCCGCAGCCCGCTCCGGCTGCGCTGTGGGCGCCGCTCCAGGCCGGTCGCCGCCGACCGGCGCCCCCGCCCCCGGCCTCTCCGAGGCGGCCGGCGGCGCGGCCAGCGGCGACAGGGCGGCCGGGGCGCCGGGCCGGCCGCGCCGCTCCGGCGTGGACTGGGCCGCGTGCAGCAGGTTACTGACGAACGACGAGTTGGAGCTGAAACTGGAGTCGAGCGCCGCCTGCTCCAGCAACTCGAACGCGCGCAGCTCCTTCAGCTCCCGCTGCCGGCGACAGAGGGCGGTCAGCGCCGGGGGAGGTGTCGGGTGCAGTACAGGGGAGGGACGGACCAGCCGTGCCGCGGGCCGAGTTGAGTCGAACACGATCACTCGCAGAATCTCCACATTTAAACACATTTCAGAAACCCAGCATGAGTTAACCCAACGTTGACTGAGGGGGCGGCGCTTTACGTCCAACGTACCTCTTGCCAACGAAACTCGTGATATGTACCTACCCAACTAATACTGCGATCACCGTGTAAGTTTCTGCACCGTGTGACGGGTCACCAAGACTGACCTCCCCGGGTCACCCAGACTGACCTTGCCTCGCGGCGTGCTGTCCGGCTGCTGGTCGGGAGCGCCGGTGGCGCCGCCCGGCGGCCGCGCCACCTTCTCCACAGTGATGGCGCCGGCCGGCAGATGGCTCCGCGGTCGGCCGACGCTGGGCAGGTTCAGCCGGCCGGCCGGCGGCGCGCCGGGTGTCGCCGGCCGGTGGCTCAGACCGGGAGCGGGCCGCGCCGCACTGGCGGCGGGCCCGGCCGCCACCCGCAGGTCGCCCAGCAGCGCCAGTGTGTCGGCCGGGTCGGCCACCGGGTCCCGGCCGGGCGCCGGCCGCCACGGGCCGTCGCCGCGCGGAGCCGAGCGCAGCACTATCCGGCCGCCGCGGCCGGCAGCGCGGCCGGCGCGCCCCCTGCCCGGCCTCAGCCGCACCTGCTGTCCGGGCCGCAGGCCAAACCGCTGCAGACCGGTGCCGCGCTTCAGGAACGGCCGCTTGGCGGCTGGTGGGCCGGCCGCGGTCAGGGCCGCCGGCGCCGGCGGCGTCTGCCGCTGCAGCTCCCGCTCCAGGAGGGTGTCGAACTGGACCGGCCGCAGTGGGGTGTCCTCGTGCTCCGCCGGCGCTCCGGGACCCTCTGACTGAAAACAGCCACCACATGCCATCAGGGAACAACTAACAGCTTGCACTGGGTTAGCAGCTAAAAATTGGTAGACCTATAGTAGTAGGCGTTTAAAAGAAGCATTATCATTAAAATATTAAACCGTGCACAACAACGGGTGCAAAATCCACCCCGCTAAGAGCTCAGGGCTCTGATTTACGACAGCCACTACCTGTTGTGTGAGATTCAAGCACTGACCTGCCGTTGAGGGCTCATTGTGTTGGTCTCTGTGGCTGAACGGCTGTTATGTCTGTCAGCCAGTGCAGTGCTGGATGAATTAGTGGCAGGAGAGTTAGCAGGCCTCTGGGATCCTTCGCCAGCCTGCCGTGCCGGAGACCCTCCACCCGAGCCAGGACTGCCTATCAATGCAGCTAGCTCACTCTGAAAAATAGCCAAATCAAATGATGATTTTTATTCAGTTCAGCATTTCAGCACTCATTCTACTCATAATATGAGCCAGACATGATCAAATGCAATAATGACAATGGTGAATTCAAATTTAAGGCATTCTGGCTGAGGTCATTTGCTCATAATGTTAATAGGCAATCAAAGTGGTTTAAAAATATGGACAAGTGCCTACCCAAGTAGCTTAAACTCAATCCTGTAGCTTAAATACTTCTTACAAGAAAGCACATTAATCAGTCAAAGTGGTCAATTTTGTCAGTTCAGTTTTTTAAATCAATTAAATCCATATCAAATTAAAATTAAAGACTGCTAGTAGCTGCATACTACTGCATATTAGGTATGTACCTGCTTTTCTTCAAAAACACGTTGTGTCTCTTCCTGTTGCCTGATAAGTCTAGCTCTCTGCTGTTCCTGCCATACCCGTAGCTGACCCACACGACTGCTTAGCTTAGCAAGCGGAGAGCCCGTATAACTGCTGTCCAAATTAGTGCTTGTATCAGCATCAGCAGACAGGTCAGCCATCGCTTCAACACAAAAAACAAAGTTATGGCAAGCTGTTTTCAGATTAAAAACTCAAAAAACAGAATGGCCAACACATCATTATGCTGATATTAGATAGGTAGGTAGGTAGGTAGGTAGGTTTAAATTTAAGAGTATATTTTATATAGCCTTGGTAGGTAGCCTGATTGTGATCGTCAATAGGGGTACTAGCTAAAAACATCAACAGCTTTTGATATAGGAACCAAAGCATTAAACGATTGCTGATTCCGCACAAGGGCGTATATAAATCATGTGACCAAGGCAGTATCATGTAACCCAATATGCTGTACTAAATAGGCACCTACTTCGCAGAAAATAAGCAGCATAGACAAAAATCTGATAAAAAGTAGATAGTAGACGTGTTTGTTGTTGTTAACAAGGGGTTGTTAACATCTGGATCTGGCACCTTAAATGCCGCCCGGTTCACAAATGCCGCACTTTTCATTTTTCACGCGTAAAATTTCGTTAGAAAAAGGGCTTACTTGAATTTTTACATTGTTTTCCACGCAAGAATCCCAATTTATCGATTTACTTTTAATTAGACCGTATAATTAATTATCAAAGGGAGAATAATCAGAGGAAAAAATACATGACTAGTTTTTTTTTTTGAGCTGTTTCATCTTTGACGCATATGTCGAGGAGTGCGCAATGTTTTGTTTTGGAATCCCAAGGGGCTTTTCATCCAGCTGTCTGTGTAGGTGGTTGATGTAAGTTTAGGGTATTTAACATCATCCAAATATGGCTAACTATTGACATGCTTCGTTACAGATGTTGCACAATGTTGAGGCCGCTCACACACACCATAAAAGCTTCGGTTGCTGCTATTTCAGACATGGTTCCGGCCACCTGACGGTATTCTTGTTAATGATTTCAGTAGGCGGAACTATGGTCATGAGTACCCAAATATAGGAACGTTCCCATTTTTGGGAACGGAGTTCCCAAATATGGGAACGGGCGTTCCCATTTATGAGAACGGAAGGCAATTTTTCGGCCGTTCGCCCACTAAAACTCAAAAGTGCATCACGTCTCAAAAAAGTGCACGCTGATTTAAGTATCTACTAAATCTCCATAAAGTTATCTTTAATCTGACCGTGGAACAAGGAAATTGACCGTGGAATGATATTTTTAATGATTTTTAAAAATGACAGAATGGTGGAAATATGGGTTATACGACATTTAACATGCAATTTTAAGGAAAATGAAGCATTTTTTACATTTTGAGGTCAAGTATAATAATTTTCGCCTGGTTATGAAGTACGTTTGTATAATTGCATGCAGATTGATATCAATCTCGTACATGCAGATTCCGGACCCTTTCAAATCGCCTCAAAATTGGCATGTAGACCAAACAGGACACGCTGATCACGAATCTGAAGTCCGTTCCGCGGCACATATGAAACTTTTCCCGTAATTGACAAATTACAGATCTGCATGCAGATTCCGGACCCTTTCAAATCGCCTCAAAATCGGCATGTAGACCAAACAGGACACGCTGATCACGAATCTGAAATCCGTTCCGCGGCACATATGAAAGTTTTCCCGTAATTGACAAATTACGGATCTGCATGCAGATTCCGGACCCTGTCAAAGCGCCTCAAAATCGGCATGTAGACCAAACAGGACACGCTGATCACAAATCCGAAGTCCGTTCCGCGCACATATGAAACTTTTCCCGTAATTGACGAATTACGGATCTGCATGCAGATTCCGGACCCTTTCAAAACGCCTCAAAATCGGCATGTAGACCAAACAGGGCACGCTGATCACGACTCCAAAGTCCGTCCGTTTCCGATTTTGAGGCGATTTGAAAGGGTCCGGAATCTGCATGCAGATCCGTAATTTGTCAATTACGGGAAAAGTTTCATATGTGCCGCGGAACGGACTTCAGATTCGTGATCAGCGTGTCCTGTTTGGTCTGCATGCCGATTTTGAGGCGATTTGAAAGGGTCCGGAATCTGCATGCAGATCCGTAATTCGTCAATTACGGGAAAGTTTCATATATGCCGCGGAACGGACTTCGTATTCGTGATCAGCGTGTCCTGTTTGGTCTACATGCCGATTTTGAGGCGATTTGAAAGGGTCCGGCATCTGCATGCAGATCCGTAATTCGTCAATTACGGGAAAAGTTTCATATGTGCCGCGGAACGGACTTCAGATTCGTGATCAGCGTGTCCTGTTTGGTCTACATGCCGATTTTGAGGCGTTTTGAAAGGGTCCGGAATCTGCATGCAGATCCGTAATTTGTCAATTACGGGATAAGTTTCAGATGTGCCGCGGAACGGACTTCAGATTCGTGATCAGCGTGTCCTGTTTGGTCTACATGTCGATTTTGAGGCGATTTGAAAGGGTCCGGAATCTGCATGCAGATCCGTAATTTGTCAATTACAGGAAAAGTTTCAGATGTGCCGCGGAACGGACTTCGGATTCGTAATCACCGTGTCCTGTTTGGTCTACATGCCGATTTTGAGGCGATTTGAAAGGGTCCGGAATCTGCATGCAGATCCGTAATTCGTCAATTACGGGAAAAGTTTCATATGTGCCGCGGAACGGACTTCGGATTCGTGATCAGCGTGTCCTGTTTGGTCTACATGCCGATTTTGAGGCGTTTTGAAAGGGTCCGGAATCTGCATGCAGATCCGTAATTTGTCAATTACGGGAAAAGTTTCAGATGTGCCGCGGAACGGACTTCAGATTCGTGATCAACTTGTCCTGTTTGGTCTACATGCTGATTTCGAGGTGATTTGAAAGGGTCCGGAATCTGCATGCAGATCCGTAATTCGTCAATTACGGGAAAAGTTTCATATGTGCCGCGGAACGGACTTCGGAGTCGTGATCAGCGTGTTCTGTTTGGTCTACATGCTGATTTTAAGGCGTTTTGAAAGGGTCCGGAATCTGCATGCAGATCCGTAATTCGTCAATTACGGGAAAAGTTTCATATGTGCCTCGGAACGGACTTCAGATTCGTGATCAGCGTGTCCTGTTTGGTCTACATGCCGATTTTGAGGCGATTTGAAAGGGTCCGGAATCTGCATGCCGATCCGTAATTCGTCAATTACGGGAAAAGTTTCATATGTGCCGCGGAACGGACTTCGGACTCGTGATCAGCGTGTCCTGTTTGGTCTACATGCCGATTTTGAGGCGTTTTGAAAGGGTCCGGAATCTGCATGCAGATCCGTAATTTGTCAATTACGGGAAAAGTTTCAGATGTGCCGCGGAACGGACTTCAGATTCGTGATCAGCGTGTCCTGTTTGGTCTACATGCCGATTTTGAGGCGATTTGAAAGGGTCCGGAATCTGCATGCAGATCCGTAATTCGTCAATTACGGGAAAAGTTTCATATGTGCCGCGGAACGGACTTCAGATTCGTGATCAGCGTGTCCTGTTTGGTCTACATGCCGATTTTGAGGCGTTTTGAAAGGGTCCGGAATCTGCATGCAGATCCGTAATTTGTCAATTACGGGAAAAGTTTCAGATGTGCCGCGGAACGGACTTCAGATTCGTGATCAGCGTGTCCTGTTTGGTCTACATGCCGATTTTGAGGCGATTTGAAAGGGTCCGGAATCTGCATGCAGATCCGTAATTCGTCAATTACGGGAAAAGTTTCATATGTGCCGCGGAACGGACTTCAGATTCGTGATCAGCGTGTCCTGTTTGGTCTACATGCCAATTTTGAGGCGATTTGAAAGGGTCCGGAATCTGCATGTACGAGATTGATATCAATCTGCATGCAATTATACAAACGTTTATGAAGTTTCATTCTAGCGACACCAGATGCTGACATATGCAAGCGAACACGCGGACAGTCCCGAGGTAATATTGTTGACTTTTGGTGTCGGGGCGATCGACCGCGTGGAACGTCAGTGATTTTACCGAACTACTGTTGTAAACTCAGTTTCAGTGGTTTAAAATCATTCAGCTGTATTTCATCAGCCCTGAAAGACATATTTTATTTGGATGCTAGCTGTTGAGCGTTGTTTTATAAGCAGCGTCATGAGCGTGGTTTTTGTCTTCGGCGTTTCTAAGCATGATCGTTTGGGGGGATTTTCTCTGATATAGGTCGCTCTGTGTGGCTTATTTATAATTTTTATGCTGATTTCGATCATTCCTCGTGCCCATCCTACCAGGCCTTTTGCCACTTACACTCATTAAGAAAGGAAAAAACTAGATTTTCATTGGGACTAGGTGTTTTGAGGGTGTAACATATTCAGCGTTCCCATTTTTGGATACTTCTTGTGCTCGTCAACTCTCGGTGATTAGCAGACAGGTGCTTGACATGTCTCCACCCTCGGCGCGGACGGTGGATATAGGTATGGAAGACCTTGTTGAACATCGCTGAGCGTTGTGGATTACGTAATCCTGCAGAGGGGGGCGTGCCCGCTGCGAGATCGACGGGAATAAAAGCGCAGAAGACCGGGCGAAACATGCAACGGTCTTGCCGGAAAGGTCATCTGATGATTGTTGCGTTAACAATAATTTGCGGCGTTGGACGTGATGCTTGTTAATGAAAAGAGCCCCTGAAAGGCGTCGGTGAAATCGTTCCCAATTTTGGGTACGCCGTTCCCATAATAAGGAACGCTTGCAGCGCCAGTGTACGAGAGCGTTCCCAAATTTGGGCTCGCGGCCCGGGTGATGGACTGCTTTAGAAATAGGGGAACGATTTGAAACTACGATGGGCCTTACAATATCAAACTCTTTCCCAACAATATTGAGACAACTATCAGGCGGTTCACGATCGTTTTCTATTTTTTGGACGTCATTTAACGGTTCTTTTTCTTGTTTTAAATAATGCCTACATGGCGTTCCCATATTTGGGTTTATCGTTCCCAAACATGGGAACGAAAATGCGTTCCCGAAAATGGGTACGCTTGACCATAGTTCCGCCTACTGATTTAGTTTGAGTTTGAGTTATATATTTAACTGCTTTGTTATGTTTCAGTGCCAGAGATTGTTAACAAAATTTCATAGTTATCAGTACAACAAATTAACAGTCCTGGTTTGCACTCACCACTTTGCAAATGGCTGAGACAGAGGTATTAAATCAGCCACAAGGAGCTGCATTGCAATTAGACCAAGGGGGTGCCGCCCAAGCAGCTGCCCCGGAAGATGCAGGACTCACCTCTGAGGAACAGATGGAGGAGGAGAAGTTTGCTATTCTCAGCAATAAGGTAAGGTTCTCATTTTGCTGTGCAGGACTTTGAACCCTAACAATGTTGATAAGAACCTGTTAGTTCTGGAGCTCTGTGCACATGTGTTTTGTTGTGAGTATGCGATAGTGTAGTGCATATTTTATGCAGAGCAGTGTAGGTCATAGTATGATAGATAGGTACCTTTCTAGCTGAACTACACTGTGCTTGTTCA